GAGCTTCCAGAATCAATGCAAGTTACAATTATATTTCAATTCGAATAAAAGATTAATTAATTGAAGTTGTTAAACAGTGTTGGGAAAAACAGATGAACAAGAAAAAGCAGAATATCAATTGCAAATCCATTATGAAAGAGTGCTTTATATGAAGTATACACAGTAGACAATAAGCAGAAGGAGAGCAGAAGAAGAGAAGCAACAAATAGGTGAGTGGCAGTCAACCCAGAGATGGGAGTAGAGGAATAGTGGTCGACCAGTCGAAAGACCGGGAGGACGACCGGCCGGTTGTCCTGGTGGATGACCGGCTCTGGACCGTTTGGACAGATCAGAGAACCCATTTCTATTTCTCAACTATTCTAGACCAGAGCGATTGAAGGATATACGTACCAGAGCAATAGGAGTGGAATAGTTGTCACCGGTGATGGAGTAAGTAGAGTGGGTGGATGTGCGCTTCTTCGGTAGCCATCTGATTCGAGAATATGTTTCACAAATTTGGCCTAAGACAAATAAATTTCGAGATGAATTTCGGGATGAAACAGGAAATTAGTGAGTTGTATATAGGACCAGTATATATTTTGGGAGGAATTTGTGATTTACTTTATCTTTTTGTTGTCGTTGTTTCATTGCCCAGAGGGTGAATCTTCCACAACGCACAAAGTGAAACTCATTTGATTTGTGGGAGCTGGTGGATGCAAATTTATGGGTAGGAAAAGGGTTCACAGGCATGGTTTAGATTTGAAGGTCACAATTCAGTTCAAAGAGAGGAAGACGACCCGTTCTTCAGCTGTGATCTTCAGCTTTAAATTTCTTTACGTGAAAATTTTCAAAAATGGAGAAGACCGAAGAGAGAGAATATGTACATTTAGAAGCTTTTCAGAAGACCGAAGAGAGGGAATTTGTACGTTTGGAAGCTTTTTAGAGTAGGAAAGGCAAAACCGATAAATCTACCAAACGGAAGTAGAGTTGCATTTTGAACTTTGTGGTGGAATTAATTATGAAACCTGTATCCTAACGTAAAACGCAAATAAGCGGATGTAAATACATTTCCAGAGCACAACCAAACACAGCCTAAAACTTTGTTGGCATCTAGATTTGAAATGAAAGACATGGATCTTGCAACCTATGTTCTACGAATTAGAATTTCAAGAGGTAAAAATTCAAAGTTATTATATCTAGATCAAGAAAAATAACTAGAAAGGTGCTCAAAAGATTTAATATGAACAATTGCAATTCTTTAAGCACATTTGTTTGTAAGGGACAAAATCATAGTAAAAGTATGAATCCTCAAAATAAGTCTAAAATTGAGGAAATGAGAGATGTCCCATTTGCTTAGGCAGTAGGCAATCTAATGTATGCTATGACAAGCGCATGGCCTAATATCTGTCATGCAGTAGGATTGGTAAGTCAATTTCAATCCAATCCAAGTAAGGAACATTGGCAAGCAGTTAAAAGAATATTCAGATATTTAAAAGGTACCAAGGGTTTAAAATTATGTTTTGGTTTGTATGATTTAGAAATAAATGGATACACTGACACAGATTTTGCAGGAGATATAGATGATAGAAAATCTACTAATGGTCATGTGTTCCTGTTTGGTAGAACAATAGTTTCTTGGTTAAGTAAGAAACAGAGTTGTGTTGCAAAGTATACAATGGAAGCCGAGTACATAACTTGCAGCACAGTGGTTAGTAATGTGGTCTGGATAAAGGGATTTGTTAACAGTTTACAATTAAGTACACCTGCCAGACCGGTCAATATGTTATGTGGCAATTAGTCTGCCATCTCATTAATAAAAAGTGGAACGAATAGCTCTAAAGGAAAACTAATTGATGTAAGTTATCACTATATTCAAGATATAGTGGAGAGGGGAGAATAAAAGTCGACTATATACCCTCAGAAGAGATGGAGGCCGACCCTTCTCTGGAAAAATTCAGAGAACATATAGTTAATATGGGGTTGAAAAATGTCTAGCTAGGTGGTTTAGCTACTTATATAAGTGCATAGTCGGATGACTCTAGAGACGCCTAGATAACCGATGTTATACGACTCTATCTTGCATGGAAACATGTGTTTGGTTAGGTAATAAGATAGAGGAACTGACAAGGTACGAACATCATAGTTAGTATGAGATGTAAAATCTGTGATATGCAACATACTGACTAGGTGATGTTGTCTACTTGATCAGCAAAAAGTCGCTCATAAGGTAAGGAAAACCTTCAAGAATGAGCCTTAAAGGAAGTGCTTAACAATAATTTCAGTGCAGGTCGACACATAAGAAATGTGTGCGGCTGAAGTCATCAATGGTGATTGAGTGTGGACTATGAGCCTAGCACTGAAAATTGATGTCGTTCACTTGAAATATAGTGAATTGAAGTCATTTGAAATGTGTTTTCAGTGGGATAACACATTTGTACGGATGCGGTCAGATTGGTGGCAAAAATGTGCGTGTGTATAGCCAAGTCACAATCAGACGTCGATCTATGAGATAAAGTCATAGATGAAAGTTGGCATGAGGCAAAAATATTGATATCAATGTAAACATGCTCAACTCAGGTTTATCATCTCATTATGATGTGTTCAAGTGGGAGATGATGGAATAGGAATAACCACACCATAATTCAGTGTGACTCACTACACGCAATCATTTCTCTCTTCAATGGTAATAAACCTTCTCGCAATAGTGTTGAAGAATCTGGAAGTTACTTGGTTTGAATTCAAACATCTAAAGACACAAACCCTTTGGTGAACCATGGCGACTATTGGTATTGTGAACCAATCCAAAAGGTATGACTATTCACAAAGGACACCTAAATGTGTAAATAACCCGACAACAGTAAGGTTGCAATATACTTGAAAAGCTATGAATAATTCTACTTTTCTAGCTTTTGAATTATTGACATTCTTGCATGATAAACACCCCTACAAGATTATCGATCATCGCCGTTGTTAGTTTATTCCTTCAAAACCCTCTTATAATAAGTCTTATTTTGTAAACTGAGTGCAACATCGTGATGTATTCTTTACACAAAATACAAAATTCGTGCGCTGTAATAGATTAGATCACGTGAAAATAATTACTTAATCCTAATAATTTTTAATTAAAAATATACCATCAACTTTTCCATCGAAATAAATAGAAGTGCATTACGCAAACATATTTTTAAATGGCAAGGTGTTCGTGAGTTCGTTCCACTTTGCACACTTCAGTAGGTCTTGGGAAATTCCATTTGTAAGCTTGCATGTTTTTTCATTTTACTTTATGACTTGTTCGCTCGAAAATAAAGTATTTATGAGCACATCACTTATGCCATATGAAATAAAGTGAAAATGTTAGTTTGGAAGAGAAAAAAGATGACAACATCATGATCAATTTACTCGTTAGTGGAAGTTCTTTTTAAAAATTCACCAGATTCGTCAAAATCAAATAATTTGAACTAATTTGTTACAAATACAAAATGGACAGTTTTAATAGTTTGAGCAAATAGATGCAGATTTCCAATCTGCCTAAATTCAGCAAATGGTGGATGAGAGGTCACCCGACCCAACTTGATCTGCTAATACTCCTAAGAAAATAAAATTATGTTTTTATACTTTTGTGTGTTACAAGAATAATCTTTTATTTAATAATTATATTTTCTATTTATAAAATGTGAAAATTGAGTCTTTATTTTTATTATAAAAAAATTAGAATGCAAAATAGTGAAGAATTATTAAAAAAATGTTCAAAACAATAATGTTCAAACCACCAAACAAACCACATTCATCTGCCAACCCGCACAGCCCACTCAACTTGCATCCATTAACTAAATGGATATCATGTGAATTAATTTTTCTCAATCCACTTAAATTCGGACCGATAGCGGATTAGAAAATACCGACCTAACCCAATCAGCCGACATCTCTAGTTTAATTGAAAAAATATTTATTTAAAAAAGAAAAAGAAAATGAGAGTACCAAAATTTAATTTGTATTTCATTTACACTTCTGGTCAATTTTCCTTTCTCTACACAAATTCCTCCCAAAATTCAAGAGTCAAATTTATTTCCTTCAAAAAAACACAAAAACAAACTAGTTAAGACAGGCATCATCATACATGCGCAATTATCTCGTGCATACTTCAGAGTTTTTTCAGTGCAAGCTATTAAATAATTTTTCGTTCACTGTTTTCTTATAATAATACAAGATGATTCTATTTATAATATATTTTTTTATTAAAAAAAATTGCGAGCCAAACATAAAAATGAACAGTGATGAAATCAACATTCCATTCTATAACATTCCAAATAACCAAACATAACATCAGGGTCGCGCAAGAGTGGTTTGGGAGTATTCTACCCACAAACCAATTCCTGTTTTTACCTTTGCCACCCCAATTGACAAAAGTACTTTCCACACATAAAACCACCGTTTGACAGCAAGTTCATTCTGAAACAAGCTGATAATAGCAACTACCAAACCAATAAAATCATTAATAACAAATCTCTTTAAAAAAAAAATTTAATAAAAAAAAAAAGTGACCACCACGAACAAGATTGCCTTCCTAACCGGGGAGGCAAAACAGGATGACGAATAATGGTCTTGCTTTAGTACAGTTTATTTGAACGGCATATAACTTCTTTTTAAGAAGGGGAAAAAAAATGTGACAATATTTATTGCAGTTTCTGCTTATAATTTCAGAAGCAAAAATAGTAAATGAGACCAAATTCTAGAAGCTTTTTTTTTTAACATCGAATTCTGGAAGCTGGGAAGTGCTGCTTTTAGCTTCTATTTTTTTTTTTATCATCAACTTTCAGCTTGCAAAAAATTACACCAAACAAGTCCAGTGTCCTTACTAAACTAGACAAAACCAAACCAGACAAAATGTCCTTGCCGAAGATCCAGACGAGTGACTGGTCCCGACAAGACAAACAGGCATGGTACCGTAAGGAAATTAAAATACCACAACAGCACATGGTGACAGTCCATTATTCCCTTGTCTATCAAAACACCAGGAGGTATGAAGGAATCCCTGTTGAACCCCTCGTCCATGGGTTACATTCAAGTCCCATGCAAAAAAATAGGTCCATGGTGAACGCCATTCACCTAATTTGGTAAATGACGATAATACAAAATAATTCAAGTGCAGCCATCAATTATTTGTATTGCATTGCAGAAGAAAACTGTTAGAATCCATAATTCCAATGGATGACCACCCCATGTGTCTAACATCGAAAAGAGGGAAGAAAAAAAATCAGATTGAATGTTGCCAAGGCAACAACCATAAAAACTACGGACTCGTCAAAAAGCAAACAAAACACAAAGCCTATGAATACTGAAGCTGCAGAATATACTTAACACTTCAATGTCTCACCAGATTTCATTCCGGCAGAAACACCTGCAATTGGCAATCAGTGATGCTCATCATCACCGTGTCCATCCGGAGGTCCTCCAGGGCCCACCACTTCCAACTACAAAAAACAAATAATTGGGTATTTGTAAGGCAGAGTGTAACAACAAAAAGGAAACAGTGATTCAAGTTCATTTGGTCATTAATCCACCTAAATCCTGCTTTTGGAGTTAAAATTACATTTCAAAGTTTCAAATTTTTTCTTTTTTTGTGATAAATACTTCAAGTTTAAATTTTGAACCCAGAACCCAGTTCTATCCTGGTCATATATCCAATATCCGAACAGGCTTGAATGAAATTGTAGACCAAGTAGCATAAAACCAGTTATAAGTTGGAAATTAGTTTTAAAACTGAACTATTTAATTAATTCCTGTTCAAATTCACATAACATATTTGGAATTGACAAAAACCCATAAATTGAGCTATTAGTTAGCATTATTAAAATTAAAGATGTCAACGAGGACCTATTGAAATACTCCAAATCCATATCCATGTTCACCTCGATCTGCCGCTTATCTTCCCTAGACTTATGTGATTGATTCAAGGATTATATTGCACTCACCACAAAGTACTGTGTGCACACTGGACATTCATGTGGCTTGCCTTTCTCTAGCCAGAACCAAACAACATCATGCTCATCTTCTGTTTAAAAGGAAGGAGAATATGTTAAATAGCTGTAGGCAACTAGTTAGTTTAATGAATACAATATACATAAATCCTTTCTCTACCAGACGGGGAAAAATTATTCAAAGATATAGTTAATATTTCAATAAAAAAGAAATGTAACAGCTACTTACCCCCTTCACCTCCAGGGCATCCAACAATTCTTTTGTCGTAGTAGGACTTGATGACTGCAGGGGATTCCTGCAGGCAAACAAAATGAGGAAACTACTTATAGATGACATCATGCTTCCAGAATCATCACAGGTACCAATTCAAAACAAATCATATTTCCTGCTCCCAAACACATCAATTTAGATAAGGAGGCGTGATATATACAAGTTTTGGAAGTTCAAATATGTGAACAGATTTTAATAGTGTAATTATAACCTACACCAATCTCAATAGTAGGAAGCCCACTTTCCCTTTGTTCTATACCACCAAAGCAAAAGGTACTTTCACAAAAAACAAATTGATTATAGCCTATTTAGATGGTTACAGTAATGCTTTGTGTAACTTTTGAGCCAGTAGTAAAATTAGAACGGTGATTCATACAGCTAGGCAGCCAAAGCTTCCAAAGAAACAATTCAATAAACAGAGTTTGAAGCTTTACCACAGTTTTAGCTTTAGTTAACACATTAGGAGGTTCATTTCAATATGTGTTAATAGTGAGATACCATAATTACAGCCTATGAAGCATGGGCACTTCAACAAACATGTCGTACCCGTACCAGGTACTTACCGGGTGCTGATACTTCGTATGATACTTCTACATACATACTGGATACACGAAACATGTACCCAAATTTTCTCTTAATTTTTGGCATACTCAGGCGTACCTAGTATACACCCAATCCGTACCATATCTCAGTCGAACCAATATTTTCATTTAATACAAAGGTAAAACTAATTTCATTAGACTTTTTTTTTATTTTTATTTTTATGCTTAGTTAAAATGAAGCTATGGTTTTTAAATTATTTAATATGATGACATATAATTTTGATTTATACCTTTACTTTTGACATTAAATATGAATTGTAGGTTGAATTTTGACAAATTAAACCATTTAACTAATTTTTGCATTACTCTAAATTAAAAATAAATATATTTTTACAAATGTACCCAGCCATATGCGTACTCTATTATTGTTAGATTTTACCGTATCGATGTACCCGTATCGTACTAGTACCAGTACCAGTACTTGTACCCGTGCTTCGTAGATTACAGCAATCGTTCACTATTAACTAGAAACACCATGTTCATATGACAACTTCAGGGATAATATGATATTCAAATCAAACCCTTATAGTTGGTCCTCTGAGGCAAATGGAGTCGTCAGCCAACCAAAATCGTCCCATATTCCCATCACACTTACTAAAAGCTATAATCATGCATAACCTCAACAACAAATATTTAGAAGGACAATGTATTATCAGTTTGGTTTAGTTTGGTCCGCCTTTCTAAGAGATCACTTCGAGAACCAAAAAGATATGGTCAGTTCTAAGTTGGGAGATTGGTTTTAGCTTAAAAATGACTAAGGTTCTCATGAGCAGCTCAAGTTTGGCTTCATTTTGGCTCATTTTTTTTGTTTTTGTTTTGATAAATAGCTTCATTTTGGCTCGTTTGAGCTTGAATTGTATAGTTTATCAAGCCAAACCCAAAAAAGAAGAAGAAGAAGAAGAAGAAGAAGAAGAAGAGCTCGGTTAGTTGTTATTGAGTTGAGTTTGATCACACTTTTTGTTTGGGTTCAATGTGAGACCATTGAAATTGGTGATGAAGCCCTCCTGAACACCACATTCATCATAAAAGGTAGGTAAATAACATAGTGATTGGCATTGAAATCCTCAACTAATCAAATCATTTATTCAAAATTAGAAGAAAAAAAAAAAAACAACAAAAACAACAGCAACAAAGCATTAAAACTTAGCAACCCTTTATTCCCCCTTCATGCAAGCTTTACCAAGTTTGGCTTGACGAATAAAAAATTTTTTAAAAAAAGGAATCTTGTTATTAGGAGAAAAGTACACCCCAAATTTTATGTCCAATTACCATTTCACCCTAACCTTCATATATACAAGAGCTTTGTTACAAAAACAGAAATGGTGCACTTAGCTTTCTCTATATTCAATGGTCGATTTTAATTGGTCCTCTGAGCTGAGCTGAAATCAAACATACTATTTAAATATCAGGACAAGATCGAACAAAGCTGACAAAATATAAACCAAGCTCAAGCCAAGGACAAGAACAAGCATAGCTCAAACATTAACAAGCCAAGTTCAAACAGCTGAGTGATCTACCCAACTCACAGACCAAAACCAACCCAATATATATAATAATAAATGCCCCACACTTTACATCTAAATAATGTTTACAATTAGCAAATGAAGACTAAGACTTAAATAGAGCCAAAAACTGTTGTGATCTTCTATGTGTGAACCCATCAGCAATAGGTGAGTTATTCACCTTCAGCTAGTCCACCATTGGCTGGGAGGGAGAACTTCCGCTCCTTCCCAATTTGTAAACACCATTAACCCACCATACCGTTTTTCTTCCACATCATAAAGGATCATATTCTAACGGGGAGGAGAGGATGTGGGGATGAAAACCAGCTACATGAGTGGGAGTATCAAAGTCCCCAACCACTGAGACCACTTCATTGATCCCTTAACCCACCATCCTTAGCATGTACTTAGCTTGGGCTACCATGAGTTGGCATAGGTGGGCTAGTTTGATCATATAAATACATTTACAATGTCATGTTATGGTAAGGTTGTAATCATCACTAATATTTAAATGCTGATTAGGAAACATAATAAGTCAATAGTTTACTCTAATGCATAGAAAATTGAAATCAAAACAAACTAAAGTGAGTCTAATTGGTTTGATTTGCATCAGTTCTTTGAAGTCTGAGTTCAATTGCATTTATCCCAATTACTTGGGGCCTGCTAAATAACCGTGGATAATCCAAATAGCTAGGGCATGCTCGGTAACATTTATGTTCATTGTTTTCAAAAAATTTGTTAGATGTAAGTTAAAGAATTTTAGGAAACAAAAAATGTGGTTCCACTTGTTTTGAAAACAAAGTTTTCATTCTCTGCTACCTCCCCCAACCCCTCCATCCAGCCACCCTCTCCAAAAGCCCCACCCTTGGCCACCCTTTCCAACAAATCACCAAACATGTTTATGTCTTTGTTTTTTTAGAGGTGTATCAAACATGTTTTCAATTTTTTTTTTTAACAAAGAAAAACATGCACATGTTTCCTATTTTCTTAAACAAAAAAACAATACATTGCAAATGTTATCAAACACTATCTTAACTTTATTATGACAAAAAATACGGACTTCAACAAAGCTGATGTCATGCAGCTTCCTCCCCTCTCCTTCCCTTTTTCAGTAAGCTAAAATCCAAGGACACAAGTCCTAGCCAAAAACTTAATTACCCATTAAGAAATTACCATATTCTGAGCAGTGGGTCTCTGGTTGCCTACATCACCTATTATGTTAAATGTCTATTTAAGCATGAAAATCCACAAACTGGGAGAACCATTACAGTAGACAGTTTGAGAATTATGTATCACAAGTGAACAAAAACAATGTCAACACCTTTGGAACTCATGTGAGTAGAAAAACTCATTTTTTTCAATTGGTAGACAGAGCAACCTTAGTAGGGAAAATTTGTACTTTAATTTGCAACAAAGAATTCTAATTTCTAAAAAATACTACTTACATACTATCATAGCTTAAATGTGCACACCCATAAATATTAAGCAATCAAGACCACAGTAAGCTCAGGAAAAAAAAATATATATATTGCAGCCAAAACATGAAAGTTTGGTTCTTTATTTTTATAATAGTCGCCAAACCGTCGAACAAGTAAAACTCTATGCATAGGATCCCCATCTTGATATCTTGACCTAAGAAGCACGAATACGAACAGGTTGGGGATAAGTTGAATAATATATATATATATATATGTATATATTATAAATCCATATAAAAAAATGTTATTAAATTAAGTCCGGAATAAAATGCACACAAACAACAATAATATTATCAAGATATCAAAACAACTAAACAAAATTCAAGAACTAAAACATCCATGGCATTTTTTATTTAAACAACATTCAAAATTCCACAATTTTGATTGACATTAAAAAATTTCATAATTCCACCATTTGACATGTATAATCAAAACATTGACAATCCAAAAAATAGCCAATTACACCAAAACATCACGGACATGGAAGATATGACAACATTCTAAGAAGCGCGGGCATTTGTTAGAAGGTGGCGTATCCGTGTCGTGTCGTGTCGTGTCCGTGTCGGACACCGACACTCGTTGGACACTTCCTGACATGTGTCCGACACTCATCAAAAAAATGTCATTTAAAAAAAAATAATAATAATAAAAAATAAATAAATAAATAAACCCAGATACTCTTCGGACACTTGGAGGACACACGTGAAACGCCCTCGGAGAGGTGTCCGTGCTTCATAGATCACGGACATGGAAGATATGACAACATTCTAAGAAGCGCGGGCATTTGTTAGAAGGTGGCGTATCCGTGTCGTGTCGTGTCGTGTCGTGTCGGACACCGACACTCGTTGGACACTTCCTGACATGTGTCCGACACTCATCAAAAAAATGTCATTTAAAAAAAAATAATAATAATAAAAAATAAATAAATAAATAAACCCAGATACTCTTCGGACACTTGAAAGACACACGTGAAACTAATTATAAATTTGAACTAAATAAGTTAGGATACAACAATAAAACAAAAACAATGTATCATTATAAAACCAAGTGTTACATTGCATTTTTTTTATTATTATCTTTGAATGATATATTCTAATATGTGACACAATAAATATAAAAAATAATATATTTCGCGCGTGTCACCCACGAGACGTGTCTTGCATTTTTTGAAAATTGGCATGTCGGTGTGTCGGTGTGTCGGTGTAGTGTCACGTGTCTTGGCGCATGTCCGTGTCCATGCTTCTTAGAACGCATTTCTAGTTTTCTCTCTCTCCTCGATTCTTGACATTGTACTCTTTCTTTCTTTTCTTTTTTTCTTTTTTGGTCAAAAGATACCATGTTTAGTTTATTTTCCTTATCTTCTTTTCTTTTTGAGTAATTATTTATTTATTTTTCAATATTTCTTTTTAAAAAAAAATCGCCCCTCAGTGTCCTCAAAAAGAATCCTTCAATGTGTCCATAATGTGTCCTCAATCCCCCACATGTCCGTAATTCAAAACTAATTTCACACACTTTTTCATGTGTCCAACACATGTTCGACATGTTCATGTCCCAAACATGTCCAAAACTTATATGTTGGTCTAGAAAAGGTGTTCAAGCTTCCCATATCTTGAATTAACTTTTCTCAATGTGATGAAGTTTCCTCTAGTGTTATGACATTTACTTCCAATTATAAAAGATATTTCATTTCAACAGGTCATGGCCAAAAATACCATTGATAATTTAGGAAGCCAAGATACATGCTTACTAATGGTGACGCATGTTTCGTAAAGCTGAAAAAATTGTTAACCATCTATTACTCCAGACCACTATGAAGTGACAAGAGAGCCATGGAAAATGTTGTTGCCCATTTTTTGGGGTATATTCAGTTATGTTGAACTCAATTTGTAGATTCTGTCAGTCACGATGTGAGGGGTTGTCCCTCCTGAAGAGTGATAAAAGTTTGGAAAGAAACACTGGCTATGCTACATAAACTTGGGTGTAGGTGCGAGTGCTGATGCTTATCTAGAGATTAGATCCATCAAACGTCAAATTTAAAGGTACCGAGACTCAAAAAAAAAAAATTGTCATATATTTTATATTTTTAATATGTTATGTGAGATAAAATGGTGTAATATGTAACATGTAATATGTAGTGTCAAAAAGACAATTTACTCATTCAATAGCAATTACACAATAATATATACATATAATGATAGTGTTAGATACAAATATATAAAGTGCCTGATAAAAAGTATAAGACACATATGCAACACTCTTGTCCGCGTGTCGGGTATGTAACACATGTATTTGGTTTATTTTGAAGAGTATGTGTAACATTGAGCACCAATATATTTAATGGGGACAATTGTGTGTATGACGGAAACAAAATAGTCAACTTTTGAGGAGGCACAAACAGCCCGTGCATAGAATAAAAGCTACTTTAATCCATAGTTTACATTTTTCGATTAAAAGAAAATTTATGTGAATCAACTTTTGCTCATATAGATTTTTCAAGAGCTTTTTTAGTTAGGGGTTTATAGCCTTTTTGTATATATCTGTTGTAGAGTTCTGCCCTTTTTGGTAATTTTTGGAATATATTTACATTATTATAATAAAAAAAAAGAAAACCAATGAAAAAGGTGCCTCAAATAAATATCAAATGACTATATATATCTGTTAAAAACACGAAAGCGCACACAAATGCTTAGTACTAGCAAGCATTAACTAAATTAAAGTTCTACAAGAATGAACTGCATGGTGACTTGAATAGTGTAAAATGGGACTATTTGGACTTCCTAATGAACAAAATTTGTTATTCTTATTATTATTTCTTACTTTTATTTATTTGCTTTCAATAAGATATGCACAATAATGTTGAACAAGGACCTGAACCCTAAATCCCACCCTTCACAGGTGGCAGGCAATACTACAGATGCTACCAACTAGATTTGCCTCATAAGCATAATAAGTACAACTTCAATCAGCCCAAATCCCAAAATATGATAACATTGACTGAAATGTCAAAAAAGTAACGTGGCCTTGTAAATTTCACCCAACCCTCAAAATAGGGGACCAAAAAAAAAAAGAAAAAAAGAGTGAATTTCAGTAGAAGTGGCAAAGATAGTGATGAGAAAAGGCATTTAAGTACTGCAAAGAAGAACATCAGATGTAGCAAGGGCACCATGTTTATGGAAAAATACTCACAACTATAAGAAATATGACACAAGTGAAACACCATCTATGTTGTTTTTGAACATTCATTCACGATGAAACATTCAGGTAACAATTAAATGTACTCCCTCCGTCCAAAAATATTGGTCCCTTCTGGGAAATCCAACTTTTTTTGGTAGTCCAATTGTTACATTTCAAAAATATTAAATTTTCAATACTACTCTTTGATTTAAAATTAAAATAGTACAATTTTTTTGGGAAATATAAATTATCATAATTATACCTTTTGTGTATATTAATATTAATGAATTTAAAAGAAGGGTAAAATATGAATTTCATGTTGTTTTAGTACTTGATTTCTGAAAAGAGACTAATATTTTAGGACAATGAAAAATGAAATAAGGGATTAATATTTTGGAATAGAGAGAACATTCCAATGCAAATACAGGATATGCATCGTTCTAAAGCATGCTAACTACGCGCTAAGCATTTACGAAAGATGGCAACTAAACATGCCGTTGAAAAATTGGAGGATGCCCTTTACTAATGGATAAATCACTCATACTTTATAAGATTCAGGCACTGGAAGCAATAAGTAGGGGTTTTTTTACACTTCTAACATCCCAGAAGAACTTAGTCAATCTCTTTGTGCTTAGTATCATTATGATGAATTTTATATTGAGGTGGTGAAAGAGTCATATGATCAACAAATGAATTAAGAATAAAAGTAAATAAAGTTAACCCATCTTCAGAATATCAAATGCAGTTATTTAAATTCCTAAGATTAAAGAGGAAAAACAGAAGCATTTCAAATATTACCAATAATACAATCAACTCAATGGCTTCTCCATGTGACATTCAAACTTTACATTACAAATTAGCAATTAATAATAAGCTTATAATGATCAAAACCACAGTTTGGGGCAAATATGAATGACTAATTATCAGTTCTCATTTTCATCAACAATTAACAACAATCATGTCGAGTCCGTTAAACTACAATTCATACTAACCTTTGTACCGAAAGGACCCTCTGGATGGTCGATCTCTAGAACTTTCCGTCCCTAATTCAAGCAAATCAATAAAACCAGCATTACAATCGAGTACCAATTATCCTATCACCAAACACATAATAAGAACTCACTTGAAGCTCAGCTTCAAGCTCCTCACGCTCATGTCCCGTGGCAATAGGCATCACATCTTCAACTCTCTTCTTTGAACCAACATTATCTATACAAAAATCACCATCAACACTCAATACAAAACAAAATCATCGCTTATTCGCAGTACAAAGGCATTGAACGAAGATCCGAAACGAATTTAGGGATTGCGAAGAGAGATGAGAGTTTACCGGAAGCAGAGGCGAAGTGGCGAGAGAAGAAAGCAACGGCCGGCCGATACGGCGGCGGAGAAGAAGAGAGGTTGCCGGTGGCGAAGCGATTGAGCTTGGAAGGAGATCGCCATGGGGCGAGGGTTCGGAGCTGCGATGAGAGTCTTCTCCACATGGTTTTTTTGACCGCTAGGGTTTTGGTTTTTGTTCTCAGGTCGGCCCCTTTGCTTTGCAGATCAGAGATTTCTCACTCCCTCTCTCTCTTCTCTCTCTCTCTAGAATTTTTGTATTCAGGAGACGAACGAAATAAGAAATGGAAAATTGGGGAAGGCTTTCAGAGAGAGTGTGGGGATGAGTGATTGGCAGTGAGAGTAGCACCCGGTCGTTGTTTTGCACGTGCTACAAATTGCTGCACTTGCGAACTGGTTTTATTTTGGAAATGAAAATTGAAAAACAAATAAAAAATCCAACATTAAAAAAAAATATTGAAACTTTTTTCCTTTGTGTGGTTTGTTCTTTCGTAAAAGGAAGCCAAAAAAAAAACATTTTATTCTTAAATTGCATTAGATTTATTGGTTAAAATCATTACTGAATAATAATAATAACAATACTATGAGTTTAGGATTGCAAATAAAAAGAACCGTTTGTGAATAAGTTCGAATTCAACTCAGTAAAAGTTTGTTCAAAATTAATTTGTTAAATTTATATTACGTTTGAGTTTGAATTTGTTAAACTCTTAATAAATAAGATTAACCATACTAAGGTGGTGTTTGGGAAGTTTGTGGATTGGTTTTTTTTTTTTTTTTTTCTACTAAAAGACAAATTTTTTGCAAAACAAAAAAAAAACAAATCCAAACAAAATATCACATCCAACTTTATAATCATTTTATTTTTTCTCTCACAAACATCACATTCAACCACAAAAAAAAAACCCAACTATCTTCCCAAACACCAAAAAAAATTTCTTCAATAATATCTTGTAACTAAAAAATTTACATAAAAACTCATTTCCCAAACACTCACTAAAACTCAGCTCTTAGTTTGGTTAGTTTAACATTTATTTAAATAATAGAATAAATAATGTAAAAATATATATAAAAAATAAGTTATATATTTAAATAATGTAAATGTAAATAATAGTTAAATTTATTTATATCTAAATAATAGCTAATTATAGATAATACATTTATATAATAGCGGTGGTAGATATTATTATTTTGATTTTCTTGTAGTATATTTATATATATATATATAAATTATATATAATTGTATAATCAAAGTCTCATAGGTAAATATGAATTTATAATTCATTTGGCTTGTTAAGACTCGTGAACATACTTGGGCTTGAGGTCGAGTCAAGCCTAAGCCAACTCGACTCCAATTTGGTTCGTTAAATTTTTATTGAGTTCGAATCAAATTCGTTAAAATTTTAATAAATAAGTCCGAACATAAAATAAAAACTCAGTTCTACTCATTTACGGTCCTAAATATGACATAACAATTATTTCTCTATATATTTATGTAAATTACTTCTCCGTCAATATTGCAGAGCGTTTGAAAGTAGAAGCAACGTAAATTAAATTCTAAGAGTTTGTTTTTATGACATTTTTTTTTTAATTACTTGTAATGCTTGTCTTATCAAAAATGGAAATAGAACCCAATAAAATTCAAATTATTTAATTTAATCATGGAAATAAGTGTTGATGGAGAAATTGTTCAGTCCTAAGTTCTATTAGAGTTGTGCTCTAATTCATTTATTGATTGACACTTTGTGCTTTATCTCCTAAAATTTTAACACAAAAGCAATGCATCCTTACAGTTTAAAGCAATAGCTAGTAATTTGAGATACAAACTAATTCTCTAAAGCATTAAATATTTGCTCGTGTGGAAGCACAAGGACATCAAAATCAAATCTAAGTTAAAACTAATGTGTTACACCATATAAAAGTACACTGTAGCAATGGAAAACATGAATATCCAATATAAAATAGTTGTAGCCAAAGCTCTAGTAGACATTTGATACACATTCAGAAACAATAGCACAACAAAACCTAGTTCCATGTTGATTCTATATGAAGTGGGATCAATCTAACAGGAGAGAAAATAGCCATCCATTCCTCTCCTCAATCATCATTTTACTTCAATTTTGAGCCGTGATGGTGCAATTTGCAGGCCTGTATCGTACAAGTTTAGCCGCATAGATGACAATCATTTTGGCCTCCATGCAATCAACTTTTGTTTTTAAGCCTTTTAGAATTGGACTCCTGGCTCTGATCTTCCTCAAACTTTCGCCTTGAAATCTTCAGGTCTTCCTCACTCACTGAGCCATTTAATTTTTTGTTCAACTCGTAAGCTTCGGCTAACATCCTCTTGCATTCCTTGCTTGCAATATCATGAGAAATCACTGGAACAGAAAGTATAAGATTCAAGCAACTTGAATACTCCAACTACAACCATTTTCTGGAATTACTTCAATTGCAACTTTCTTGAAAAACGAAGGCAAAAGATTGAATAGAAGTCTAACTAAAGAAGAACCGACTCTACTAGTCCGCAATTGCAATGAAGCTATTTTAGTGTTCTCAATGACCAACATGTCCCTTCAAAAGCTAATATACGGTATAAAATGCAATGGAGCCATCAAACATGTCCTAAGATGTTTTCAACTGGCCTTATTAGAAAGATGTAATGCACAAATGTATAAGCTACTAAATGAGAAGTGACCGCAGCTTCCGACATTGTTTTCTCAGAAATCCAGGTTGACATACAAGGAGTGGCAGCTCGAAGAATTTTGGTTAGACTAGACAATAAAATATTATTTTTGTTGTGCGGAAAAACTTACCACACTCAGATGATGGCAGCCGCAGAGCACGAACACTTTGTTTGATTGCCTCAGGACACCAAAGAATGGACAATCCAAAGTGGTCATCCAGGGGACACTTTGATGCTTAAGTCAGTAAAGATCGCTCAAGAACACCAAAGAGTAATAGATTCTAAGTGATGGATGTTGTGTGCTTGACTTGGTGTATTTACCTCTACCTATAACTGACCCTTCACTGAACGTTTGCAATCTGTTGAGAGATATTTGGCACTTCCTCCATTACCTCTACTTATAACGGATAAGTGCGTTTCCAGGTAAAGTGGGCTTTCCATTAACCTAGTCCAACCGTCACTTCCTCAAACAGTATAATAAGCATCTATAAAGCTCAAGATGCTCGGTGTGACGAGAAAGATCTTGGATGCATCACCAAGGTAGAAATGATACCTCAGATTGGCTAATTTAGAGTTGCCCAGCCAACAAAAGGCAATAAACTCGAAACTTCTCTCACAATGAGCCCAAGTTAAGTTGGAGTTGGAGGCAGTTTGTGGGAGGTAACATCTGAGCAAGAGGACCACACTGCTTTCGTTGACCAAGAAAGACACATGGCAAAATTTCTAAGCTAGTTGACCAACTTGAGATTGTGCTCTTCTGTAGTTCGGACATACTAGTCCGAGCAGTGAGTGGACCAGGTCAATAGAAAGTCCACTTTGTGTGGGAACAAACTTATCCATTCCTGAAGCATCATGGACGTGGGACATGATCCTACATAAAGCGAAGAAATTTGGGGGAAATGTCAAATATCTCTCAACCAATTGTAAACGGTCAGTAGAGGGTCAGCTATAAGTAGAGGTAAACACACCAAGGCAGCTACACTACATCCAGCGCTTAGAATCTATTATTTGGTGTTCTTAACTGATCTTCGTTGAGTTAAGCATTAGAGAGCATCAGAGAGTCCCCGGCTGACCACCCTAGCCGGAGTGTCCATTTTTTGTGTTCTCATGCAATCAAACAAAGTGTTTGTGTTCTTCGGTTGACATCATCTGAGTGTGGTAAGTTTTTTGCCACACAATTGTAATGGTAATCAAATTTGGATATCAAAAGTTGAGTACCGTCTGATGTGTACAAACTCATTGGTAAGGGATGAGACTTATTAAACTAGTAGCGAGATTTATGAAATACTAAATGGTATCCAATGTTTAGTACCTAAATTTAGTCACCATGATTGTAACATAAAAAGAAATATATTTTCCAAATTATATAAAAGAAATTACACTTACAAATATCTATATCTTTTATTCTGGCTTGATATACTAGTATAAATTTCCGAAATTATAAATAATTTTTTTAATATATTGATAGTATTATTTAGACCAAAAAAAAAAATGTGGGTATATAGAGAATTTATATAAAATTTAACGAATAATTTATTGAGAATTTACAGCCAATTTACTGAGAATTTACTAAACTCTCCATTAAAAGAATACACATATGGGGTTCAAACTTTATTTTAATGATTTAAAATACAAGGTAATCAAACCCAAAGTGTCAACAAAATAGTCAAAAAGAGAGCTAAGGTGTTAAAAAATCATTATAAGGTAGATTCTTGGGTGTTCAAAAATATATTTTTTTATAGTGCTAATAATTGATTTCCAAATACAAATTACCTATATAAAAATGTGGGAAATCAATTTCTAGGTATTTTAGTGAATGTCCTCAATTAAACATGGCACCACTCATGCATACAAGCTGTTAGTCCGACCTCAGTTTCAGTCAAATGGACCGAGTACCAACTATAATACTCTGGACAGTTTAATTTCCAAACAGTCTATGCATAATTTTGCATACCACTAAATGCAGCAAGGTTCATTAAAGAAGAGTTTATGAGTCTGTGTGATCCTACATATGGGTAAATGTTTTAAACAAATTATCTCTAAAATGAACCATACTAAGTTTGCATATAAGTTGGAGAAGCACACAATACAAGTACAACTACTATGAGATTACTGACCTGGTTTAGGATAGTCTTTTCCAATAATGCACTTTGCTTTGGTTTGGATGCTTAACGGAGCTGTCCACGGCTCGTAAATATACTCCTTGGGCATATCTAGGCAATGACATTAGATTATATGACACAATATATATACATCGAGCCCATAGAAATGAGATACCCAATTCAACATACCTTTCAATATGGGAAGGAAATGCCTGATATAATCACCATTGGGATCATATTTCTTCCCAAAAGAAATTGGAGAATAGATACGATTGTACTGATGAACAAAAGAAATTCGTAAGTTCTCTGTTACAAGACAAACGTGTATTCATAAACAATACACAACCATAAGCCCATGTAAATGATGGAATGAGAGATTATTCACACCTGGTAAAAAAATGATGAACATGAGAGCCACAGCCAATTTCCATTATTAATGGCCCAATCTGAATCTATCAGAAGTCTCTCAAAAACGTCACGTCCTTTTTCCCAATGAACAAACTATCAGCAAAACAGTTGATGTCAAAAAAAGGAGATAGAAAAGCAAGAGTTGTACTTTATGGGAATTGGTGTCACTTACCAGATCTCCACGAGTTAAAAAACATGCAACACAATGCCGTGCAAGATGATGCATCCAACCCCACTTCTGAAGCTACGACAACATAAATTTAACTTCAGTGATTCGATCAAATTGTATAGCGGAGCAAGAAAAAACCAAAGGCTTTAATTCAAAATTCTAGGAAATCATGCCCACAGACCCAACCTGAACCATGATAGCATCAATCCATGGGAATCCAGTCCTGGCATCTCTCCATGCTGCCAGCAATCCATCATCAACATTCCAAGGTATCTACATCAACAGGAAATATTTAACCATTCATCAAGGTTGAAAATCAGCCTTCACAATAAAAGCACATAGAGAATATGCTGCAGTTTGTTAAATAAGAGAGATAAATCTTTTAGGTAGGGCTGGTTTACTGGAATGAAATGGAATGGTCATTCCTTAATCTCTTTATTGGAATGATCATATTCCCTTATAGTGGTTAATGATGATTTTAGGGCAAATTTCACTTTATCCCCTTGTAATTTGGCTCATGTATAGTTTACCCCCCTTACGTTCGGAAATGACCACATAACCCAAATCTGGTTTGTGGACTGAAATGCACCGTTAAACATTCCATCCAACTTAATAGTAAGTGTGAAACACGTGGCAGACATAAAGGGGTTATATGCTCCTTTTCAAATTTCAAGGGGATAAATTGCACATGGAACAAAGCACAAGGGGTTAAAGTGCACTTTCCCATCCAAACAAATGACAAAAATGTCTATAGTTCACACACTTAAGTTACTTATACACACGGGAATTTTAGTCTTTTTCATTAAATCGTTAACGGGCTTAACAGTGCATTTCAATCCACAAACCACAATGTAACCCTGTGGTCATTTCCAAATGTTAGGAGGATAAACTGCACATGGCCCAAACCACAGAAGGTAAAGTAAAGTTTCCCATGATTTTATTTGCAATATATTTCCCATCATTTTTTTTATCCAAAGGTGGGAATGGACAGCATTTTTCATTATGTTTTCCATGCATCAATTTTCATAAGTTTTTAGTAAACCAATGTGACAATATGATGCATGGAAAACCTGATGAATTTTTCCAGATTTCTTCACAAGATAAATGATTTAATTGACCATAGTGTTAATGGAAAACATAAATAGAAAAAGCAATGTGACCAAGTGTTTGATTAGGATGTTTAAAGTTGTGATTGAAATTTTTCGCAAAACTACAACATAGAGAAGTTTGTGTAGCAGAATATGAATGATGATTTTGTCCAAATAACTTCCTAAGAAACCAAAAATGAGATTACTTTCCATCATCAGAAAGTGCAGCTTTGTAATCAATGAATAGCCTGATTCTGATAATGCAAACAAAACTGTTAATGTACACCTCCTACACCACTAAAACCTACCACTACCACTACACACCTCCACTACTCCTCACCCACTCCACCTACCACCTCCACTTTACCTACTACCACCACCCACTCTACACCTACTACTCCCAAAACCTCTCTATATATAGGACTTGTAATATACAGATACAAATAACAATACAATCAATCTTGTAATACATCAATCAATAATACATCTATTTTATCAATAATACATCTTTCCGCTAGCCGCCTCTCTTCCCTCCTCGCCGTCCCTCACATCGCCACCGGCGATCTCGACCGCGAAGAGCTAATAACCTGAGTAGAATTCTCAGTAATAATATCATTCCCTTGTTTCTCATTAACTTTCTCGGGTAGGTTTGGAATTAAAACAGGAATTGGAGTTGGAGTTGGGTTTTGTGGCAATTGCACCGGACTTGCTTGCTCGGAAATCTTTTGCAAGAATGAAATCAAGGCTGCATCTTTAGCTGCTGCAATGGCTCTTTCTTCTGCTATCATCTCTTGCTCTCTCTTTATTCTAGCCAATTCTTGCATTTTCCCCGCACCACGAGGCGCCGGAACCACACAGATGTTTGCATCATCCTCTTTGTTTATAACAACAATTGAAAGAAAAAGAGGAGAGCTCTCTTTATTTCGGGTGACACACACAGATGTTTCAAGGAGAGAGGTGGACAGCCATACAAATGTTCATAAAAAAAAAAAAAAGACACAGCACAACATACTCAGGCACACTGCCACAGCCCACACAGCATACACAGACACACGGCAGCAACCTATTCATCATTGAGCATAAATAAAACATTTGGTAAAAATTCTTCATATTGCTAACTCATTTAATTTAAAACTATAGAGAATAAATTTCCATAAGTCATGCAAGTGCACTAGAAGAAATTTTTTTTGTATATATGACAGACAACTCAATACCCATTCCTTTCTCTAATTCTACTGTGTCATATTAGGTGTACTAATTCTACTGTTCTACCCTTCAATCACAGGGATTGATAAGGATCACCTGTATTAGACACAAATGCATAGTCTGTAAGTATTAAATGTATGGACTTTTTCACTGGAAGTGCTTACAGCTCTTTAAGTCAAGGGGGGTTCTTATTACAACACTGAATGAGCTTAAATACATAAAAGAGAAAAGTCATCACAAGAATTAGCTGTAGAAAAATATCTATCAGTTCCTAACTATAATTATTTAATAACTGCAAACTTTGAAGGAAAATAAAACAAATAGTGGTAAGATCTGAACTAACTTTTGTTTTGGAAAAGAAATTCAGTAAAACAGATATAAAACCTTGAGTGCAGAAGATAAGGATAGGAGGTAATTACCTGTTTGCATATTCTATTACCTTTCATTTGATCAAAGTTCGGGGTGCCAAAAGCAACGGTATAGAAAAAATCCCGCCATAACAGCTGCAGGAGTTGAAAGTATCAGTTATGCAGATGCATCTAAGACCCTAAATACTGAATAAAGAGCTGACCGACCTGTCCAAGAAGGGAAACTGGTGGTAACGTGTGCTTTTTGACATTCTTCTGAACATCCTGAATGCATTGGTAGAAATACCTTGAAGAGAGACAACCAAACTTCAAAGGAATTGAAAAGAGGTACCAAAAGATCAGAACAAACAAGATGTCAGTCTACTTACATTTCTTCATGGAAGAAGAAAAAACAGCCAAAATAGCTCAATCTTTAACTCACTTTCAAGTAGGGTGATAAAACAGTTGTTGCTGGCTTTTGAAAAGCAGATGGGTCACCCTTTGGTTTCTCAAACTTCGCCACCCACTCCTGTGACACATAATGAACACAGTAAGTACTATACAAGTACAAGACACAACTTGGGGGAAGTGATGGGCAAACAATAAAAAGAACCCGGCTGAAACCTGGTTAACTTGATATTTTCATTGTCTCAAGAAAGCAGTAGAGAGTAGATTGAAGGTATCTATGTAAAAATGTTAATATACATGAGTGCCTGATCATGAAACACCACCAACCCAAAAGAATCAATTTTGCTAGAGAAAAAATGCCTCAGGTGAGCTTTACATTAGTCCATGCAATGCAACTTCTATAAAGTTATGAGTAGGGAGTTTCACGGATTGGATTGGTCCGGTTTTAGAGTAAACTAGGAATCAAACCGGCCCCTACATACATTGCGTACTTTTTTCTAGTGATTGTAATGAGTTGGATGAACCCCAAATGTATTACCTTAAAGTATAATTTCTAATAGAGATTCAATACCCTCATATTGGTACTCAGTAACCTGATGCATTCTAATAGATACTCCACTCCCCTTATGTAGGCATTCAGTGAACTGATGAATGAGGACCACACCTACAATCTATAACTCAGAATCCATGTTTCACAAATAAAAGCAAGAAGAAAATAATTTATACTTCAGAAATACTCCACAAGTCAAATTTTTGAATGAAGGTATAACATTTAACATACACACACAAAAAAAAAAAAGAAGAAGGAGGAGGAGGAGGAATAAACCATGAAGTGCTACATATGAAGAACCAGAGTACTTCAATCCATCTCCATTTTGATGGAATGTAAGTTAGCAGGGTGAAAAAGAAGATGATGCTTCTCTCAGGGTTTTTGAAGCCTGTGAATTCTTAAGGAAACATTGTGAAGATGCACCCCCCACAAAAAAAAAAAAAAATACTCATACTTTCATTTATTTTTTTGGAAGTAAAACGTCACATCACCAAGATTTGCTATTACTTTCCAACTTGCTCATTTCAACCTAATCCATCCTGCAAAGCACAACAGCATACCTTGTCTTTCATCGCACCATCCAACCTCTTCAATGCTTCTGATTCACCACCTCTAAAAGGAGTCAATTCATCCTGCAAACAATTTTTTCCCACTAAGAATTCTACAGAAAGGCTAGTTCTTGGGTAACTAGTAGAGCTCCATACCTGTCCAATGTCTTCATACCCAAGTTCTTGGAGTGTTGGAACTTTGGAAATTTCACAATTTCCAACATTTCCAACAGGAGGAAGCCCAGAAATGTTGGTTGAGAGGGGAGATGATGCCCAAGAGGGCTGCCCAGCAAGCTTCACGAATGATTGATAAGTCAAAGGTGGCCTTCCACCATTCTTTTCAGACATATCATCAGATATCCATGCATTTGATCAAAGAAGAAAGCAAAGGAAAAATCATTCCATTAATTACTTCCCCGTACAAGCAAAATGGAGATATCATTTCACTTAAAAGAATTATCAAACGTAAAAAGTGCTTCAGATGTCTAATAAGAATCTGAACCAACACTATACTTACCTTTTGTATGATATCTGAAGGATTGAACAATGTATGACTCACGGGAGAGAAGACCTCAATACCAGCAGCAGAAGCATAGTTCTGTTGAAACAAAAATCAACTTCTTGTTTCCAGATATCTAAAACATAGGCAGATTAATATAAAGTCAACTAACAATTTGAGATACTTGATACTTACCTTAACTTTAATATCTAAAGCTTGATAGTATGGCTCTGTGTCATATTCAAAGCATAGCTTTTTTATGTCCCACTGCAAGAGCCCAAAAAGAATGTTATTGAAAATGAGATGCAAGGACTCAAATTCATAATGAAAGGGCAGTCTCCCCGAATTTTAATTATTTTTAAAGGATGATAATGACTGGCCAGTTTGATGGCTATATCACCTTTAATTGAGGCCCTTTGTGAAAAAAATTGGATCCAACCTAAAACAAGTGGGTTCAGCCTGGGCATCACTTGGCTGTATCTTTCCTTTAATTTCTTATCATTGAATTCATACCAAGCTTCTCAACTAAGTATTTGTTTCGTTAGTCAGATTATCATACTACCTACTCACGACTTTTGAATCAATCTAAGCAGCGGTAGTAGCTTCTTCTTACTGAATTGTAATTGCAAATGAATATGAATAAGTAATTTCATTTATCTTTCACCTAGTGCATTTCATATGCATGTGTGCATACACGCATACAAATTTATTCTAAAAATTACAAGAAAAAAGATATAGACGCTAATAGATTACTCCTAAACTACTCCCTCCTCATATGTGAAATGGGCCCACACCATGGTGTGGTGTGGGGCCACATATGGCCTGGTGTGGGACCCACTCTTATGTGAGTAGAGAGTGAAAAGTTATCTAGTGTTCTAGAAACACTACATAGTCATGTGCCCATTCAATATTAGGGGCATGTGACCATTTTTCAGAAAACTAATGCTATATGAAGTACACATGGGCGGAGGGAGAGGGGGGATGGCAGGGTCATGGCCCCCCAAACTCAATCTACATAGATGAGCTGAGAGAAATGTGAGTGTAATATTAATGGGATGAATGGTCTCCTTAATTCAATCAAAAGTTTACAGTCTTTTGGAAATGCTATGGTGGTTTTGTTTTCCTTTCTTCACCTTAAAAATAAAGAAAAACTCTAACTCCAAACCATAGTTCATATGCAATATTACACAAGGGTACAAACCAATTTGATGTAAATTTGTCAAGGGAAAAGTCAATTATGTGTCCAATAAAATTAATTTCTTTAATAGTTTTGCTCAGTGTACCAAATATTTTCGTGAACAATAGAAAAGAAAGGAAACAAAATAGACACAATTTGAGTATTGCTAAGTCCTTAAAAAAAAAAAAAAAAAAAAACGCCCAATTAGTGCAAATTGATGTGTGTTTGGGAGAAGAAAGATTGAGTACACACCTAACTTTTGGCATAATACATAAAGTGGTGGTCCCAAGACTTAAATCCATAACCATAAAGTGCTAAGTCCTAAAAACTGCCCAGCAAAAAAAAAAAAAAACCCTAGTTCTAAGTAAATAGGTAATTGTTTGAAGTCAATTTTAGTAATATTAAATGGCATATTGAATCAGTTAAACTACGGCTGCCGCCCAACAATAAATTTCTGGCTCCCCGTGTTTTTGTTGAATATGAGATGTTGCCATCATATTATTTAAGCAAGTCCAATTTTAAATTTTTTAATTTTATCACTGTGTATCACCTCTCTTCGTGAATTTTTTTTTAAATCTACATTTTTTTTTCTTCTATTTTGTATAACATTTTATTTTTCTCAAAATTTGAGAAAAGAATGAAATTTCCCACCCACCTCATAATTTTGTTATCTATCTACCATATATGTTCTGTAGAGATTATTTTAAGCTAAATGATAATAATTAGAAAGCAAAAGCTCAAAACACCTCTCCCCCAGCTTCCAAAAAATCATTTTTTTTCCAGCTTATTTAAGTTATTTTTTTCCTAATAACTTATACGTAAAGAAGGTGTACCAAACAATCTGATACAAACTCCAAAATTAAAATAAATTATAAGTTGTTTGTATAATCCGTACCAAACACTCCATAGATACTACTATCATAAGTTATATAGCGAAATGCACAAGACTTGAAATCGACACCTTAAAAAAGAAGGCTCTTACCAATCAATCACAAAGTTATGTTGGACAAAGTACAGTAAAAATGGAAAATAAATACATTAATAAAATCAAGAGAATACCATTTGGTGCAATACTATACAGATAAAGGTACAGCAACTAAATGGATTATTACCTCCTTCAAGCAGCGAAACAGAACCTCGCTGGGTTCACCTTTAAACACCAACAAACGCGAGCCAAGTTTCTGGAGGCTGGAATCGAGATCCACCAAGCTTTCGAGCAAGAACCGGATCCGGTTCAAGCCGGAACGGGTCGACCCGGGAGAGAAAGCGGTCGGATCAGGCTCCATATAGTGCGGATCGATCACGAACACAGGGTAGAGGTAAGTGGATCCATTGGAGGCGTACTCGAGAGCCGGGTTGTCGTGAATCCGAAGACCCTTGCGGAACCAAATCAAAGAGTTCGACCCGGATGCCATTGACGGGTTGTGGGGAAGAGGAGAGAGAGTAGAGAATCGGAGAAAGCAGTGAGGTAAGGAGAGAGAGTGCGAAAATCGCATTGAAAATGGATAGAGAGAGAAAAAATGGAACCTTTTAAACCGTTAGGTCCGTTACCGTGTTTCCCGCCATAAATGAGTAGTGAAGAGTATGAGACCCATGATGTCTAACGTGCGCCGGGAGAATGAGGTGACGCGATTCGTGCATGTTCACGGAGGTTAGTATGTGCAGTGCGCACTAGGCGTAAATTAGAACAATTCAAGGCGATAAGGTTGTGATAGGTTGAAAACGTGCCACGTTGTATATTTGAAAATTCGACACTTTGCAATCTACACAACACTCGTTCGTTGGTTGCCAGAGCATTAATTTGAGGGTAAACTAGGGGGAAAAAAATGTTGGCAAGATCTCGTTTTGGTACAGGTTAATTTAGTAATTTTTTAATTATTTGGTTAAAATATAAATTTAAAAAAATTAGTATGTTTAAAATGATTTTTTGATTTTTTACGAAAAGATGTGTAAAAAGTAGAGATAAAATAGAATCTTTGACTTTTTAGTATGTGTTGTTAGCTTTTTAGCTAATTTAATAACTTTTTGACTAAAAATGAGGGTTCCCAAACGAGGCCTAAATGTTTTTATCCTCCCAATTTTTTAGTCTTGGACTACTAAAATTATTTTTCTTTTTTATTTTTCTTTGCACTACCTATCATAATTTCAAATATACCATTTGAACTCCACCTTTGTACTTTTCACCTTCAACTCTTCATTCCCTCCTCTATCAGTACTCCTCTCACTCCATTGACCCTTCCCCAATGTCCCTTACTTGGAGATGACCCCTTACTCCTCTTTTTGATCTCCACTCTTGCACTTTTAGAACCACTCTCATGTTTAGACAAGCACCCTATTCATTCTTTTTGCCTTCGTAATTACTCTCGCTGCCGTTTGAAAAACCAATTCTGAACAAAAAGCTTGATGTTTGGTAGTATGTAGCCGAATAAAAGACATATATTTGATTGTGATGTACGAAACATATTCAACAAGTTTGGCTTTATGTAATCAAACGAAAAGAAATCGATCAAATTGTGAGGTAGAGAAAGAAATCAACGGAAAGAAAGAGAGTCGTGCACGAAAGAGAGAAAAAATAGAATAAGTTCCGAAGGATGAAGATGAAGATCACAAAAGATAGTCGATTTGGGTTGTTTGTCGATCTATTTCAAATTTCGGTTGTTGGTGAAAATGAAGATTGCGATGGTCGGGGTCATAGGAGGTGGGCATTATGATAGTGGGAAGTAGAAGTGGTAGTTCTAGATGCTGTCAGCAAGAATGGAAGTGGGGGTGGGCTAGTCGTTCCGAGGGTGTTCGCGGGAGTGGAAGTGATGGTAGGATTAGGGTTAGGGTTAGAGTTAGATTTGGGAGGATAGGGATAGGGACAAAATTGCAATAAAAAAAAATGAGGGGTCCAAAGTAAAAAGGTAAGGGCATTTAGCATTCCTAAAAAAAATAATGCTCTATCCCTCTAATTTATCATCCCAAATTGAGATTAGACTCTACATGATGGAATATTTGATAAATCAAAATTTGACATTTGTCAAAACACATCATTAGGGATGATTTTTAGGGGGGGGATAAAATAGGTGTCTCAAGCATTAAAAAAAAAAAAAAGATAAAAAGAAAAAAAACACTCAAGGTTTGACCTTCATACCAAAATAAAAATTTTCCCCTAAAAAAATATATATATTTTTATTTTATCAATTTAAATTCTAAATTTTTTATTTGTTTTCAATCTAAATCATTTGTCTATTTTTATTAGTCATTAACTCAACTAATAATGATATTTTAAATATTTTATATGTACTTACATTAAATTTAATGTTTAAAATATATTTTTCTGTCAGTTTTGCATAACGAAAATAGATTGATACTTTAGATTGAAAATAAATCAAAATATTAGAATTTAAATTGATAAAATGAAAATTTTAGAATTTATTTTGTTACAATGGTCAAATTTTGAATTTTTTTTTTTTGTAATTTTTTCTTAATTTTGTATCAACTAATACATTTTACCATTTTGTAGCCCTTAAGATATTATCTCAAATACTTAAATTTTGCTGCTTTGTTAGATATGGAAAGTTTGTAGGTTTTAATTGATTTTCTAAAATTTGAATTTTGTATTTTTTGTATTTTTTTGCATTTTTAGTGATTTTTTAAAATATGTTATGTAAATTTTTTACTTTCTAATAAGTGCATATAACTTGAATGTACTTAAAAAGTAAAATATTTGTAAAAAATATTTAAAAAATTTAATATATACATAAAAATAGAAAAATGTACTGAATTTTTATTTTTATTTTTATTTTTTGTATTTGGTGAATTTTTTTTAAAAAAATTCTATAAATATTCTTTGTTGATGTATTTCGTTATATTGTACTTTAATTTGATGCATCAATATACTCTATTTTGCGCATTAAAAAAAAAAAGAAAAAGAGAGAAGGTAAGGTACATGGGACTCTCAAAAATATTATGTATATGCACATTGCACACACAAATATGTTAAGAACCTTGCTGAGATTGTTTTCTTCCCTAAAATTTTCGAAAGACGATTGGTGCACCGTGCTGTGGATTTAGAAGCATCACAACCGTTGGTGCATGTTGGTAGCTTGGTGCAAGATCAAACGAGAATCGTTGCAAGATCATAGCAATGGCTAGTTTTGCCTGTAGAATTGCCAGGTTTGGTCCGATGCGTCGGCGGCTTCCGAACCCAAATGGCATGAATGCCATTGGATGCTTCGCTGCGTGGGCCACACCTAAAGTGAATCGATTAGGGTTGAATTCGGTCGCATCGTAGCCCCATAATGCTTGATCGTGATGGATGGCCAAGATCGGTAGTAGCAGCTCTGTCCCACGTGGTACCATATAGCCACCCAACTCGACATCAACTTTTGCTTGTCTCAAGATAGCGACCACCGGTGGGTACAACCTCAACGATTCATTCAATATCATCCCCAACTGCAAATAAGATTCACAAAAGTGGTTAGAATTTGACTTAAAATGTTAGACTTTAGTTTGTTAAAAGGTAGTTGAAGATTGTCATATAACAAGTTAAATTAAATTTTTTTTTTTTGATTTTGATGTTGGTTAAATTTTTGAGCATTCCGTTCAAACTTAGCTCAATAAATATGTTCTTACAGTTTGAGACTGGTATCATATCTAACTTTTTACTTGTGATACATTAACTATTAATTTTGAATCTCGTTTGAACTAAAGACAATTGAAGACGTCGTTTCTTTTGCAAACAAAAAATGCTAAATTTTAAGAGTAAAGTCACAAATTTGATAAAATATAAACTAGTTTGATAAAAATAAATATCAAAAAAATATTTTTTAATTTTTAAAAATTATTGTTACACACCAAAGACAAAATTATATAAAAATGATATATATAGTTTATATTTTTTTATCAAATTAATTTTTATTATATATTTGGATGATGATCATACAATGAGTGATTATTTTTATCGATATTTTGGGATACTTATCATGTAATGGATGGTTATTTTTATTTTTAACATATATTTTTGTATGGTTCTAATTTAATGGGTGGTTATTAGATTTTTAATGTGTAATCGATATTTAATATATGAAATATTTTTAGTTTTTTTATTTTTTGATTTAATGGATTGGTATAATAATATCAAACTTATCGCCATATTTGACTTGAATTTTTTAGACTATTTTTAGAATTTTGTTTTTTGAAAAAAGAAACTAATTTAACAAAAATAAATATTAAAAAATTTTAGTTTCAAAAAATTATTTTTACTCTCCCAAAAGAAAAAATTATATAAAAATGATAAGTGTTTTTAATTTTTTCACCAATATAATTTTTAGTTTCTTAGAAAAAATTTTAAAAATAGATTCTGAAAACCAAACAAAACGGAGCTTTATAAATAAGAAAGTGCCAGCATTATTTATTAAAAAAAGCCATTATATTTCAAACAATATACAAGTTAACCAATATGAAATAAGTTATATGAAATAAGTTATATGCCAACTTTGTCCTTGAAATGAAAAATTTTCTACAAATTTTCTAAGAAACGAAAAATTAAATTGGTGAAAAAAATAAAAACACTTATCATTTTTATATAATTTTTTCTTTTGGCAGAGTAAAAATAATTTTTTGAAACTAAAATTTTTTAATATTTATTTTTGTTAAATTAGTTTCTTTTTTCAAAAAACAAAATTCTAAAAATAGTCTCAAAAATTCAAGTCAAATATGGTGACAATTTTGATATCATTATACCAATTCATTAAATCAAAAAATAAAAAAACTAAAAACATTTCATATATTAAATATCGATTACACATTAAAAATCTAATAACCACCCATTAAATTAGAACCATACAAAAATATTTGTTAACAATAAAAATAACCATCCATTACATGATAAGTATCCAAAAATATCAATAAAAACAATGATCATCATTCAAATACATACTAAAAATTAATTTGATAAAAAAAATATAAACTATATATATCATTTTTATATAATTTTGTCTTTGGTGTGTAACAATAATTTTTAAAAATTTAAAAATATTTTTTTGATATTTATTTTTATCAAACTAATTTATATTTTATCAAATTGATGACTTTACTCTTAAAATTGAGCATTTTTTGTTTACAAAAGAAACGACGTCTTCAATTGTCTTTATTTGAAACGAGATTCAAAATTAATAGTCAAATGTATCATAATTGAAAAGTCATGAATTACAGTGATACAAGTTTCAAACTATAAAGACTATTAATGCAATTTGTCCTATAAAATGCTATATACTAGCTGAGTTTATTTCATAATGGGCTCCATTGAAATTCGTTTAATATAAATTTCATAAATAATTAAATTAAGTTAAATACATTTTAAAATTTGTTAAAATTTTAAATTAAAATTAAAAAGCACTGTTCTTAACTTGACTTGACTTATTTATAACACTAGCCCTGTCATTATTTATTTATTTATTTTAATTTCTTTTCTTTCTTTTTTTTGGGTGAATCTTTTCTTTCTTATTTTGTGGTGAATTTAGCATTTACGGTGTAGCGTCAAAATTTTTGAATATTTTATTATTAAATGATAAATTCTCTTACTAGTAATAACTAATCTAATTTAATCCTTTTTCTAAAGAAAAATTTATGATATTTTTAAGATATGACAAATTACATTTTAGTACTTATGTTTGGTCATTTTTTCATTTTATTATTTGAAATTTTTATTTTCTCACTTTTACCTTTCATGTTTCAAGTTTTATCCAATTATTTCAAAAGTTAACTTATGTCTAAAATTAGATAGAAAATAATATATTGATAGCCATGTGACATAAACATATTTTATTACATATAACTTACACATTTGACACAAAACGTATTACTAATTAAAAGGGTAATTAGTCAAAGAATTAATTATACTTTTCACCCTTGTAATCTGACTAAAATTTTACTTTAGTCACTATAATTTTAATTTGAAAATTTTAAACCTTAGATTTTAAATTCAATTTCAATTTGGTCATTTTGTTTTCTAAATTTTGGTTAATTTTTCTTATATATACACCTCAAGAGATTAACAAAAGTCTCAAAATTGTTTATGTTAACCTTTAACTTGAATAAAAGTATTCAACTAAAACTAGATATAAAGTATATAAACTAAAGGGTTTTTTTGGGATTTAAAGTATAGAGACTAGGGGGTTGTTTGGGAATTGGCTACTTTAATTGATTTTTTTTTTTTTTTTGGTTTTTAATGAAAACCAAAATGAAACTTGAATCAAATTAGATGGTTAAAAGTGTAATTAACCCTTAGTCAAAATTTAAAAAAGAAAAGGAAAAAAAAAGGGGTATATATATATAAAAAAAAAAATAGCATTGGAACCTTGTAACAAAATAATTTAAGCTTTTTATTTTGTTAATTTAAATTCTAAACTTTTGATTTGTTTTTGTTATAATCTATTTGCTTATTTTTGTTAAGTAAAATTGAAAAAGAGAGAATATTTTAGTTATTAAACTTAACAAAAAATGGTATTTCAGATATTTTTATATACTTACATTGAGTTTAATAACTAAAATATTATTTTTCGTCGGTTTTACTTAACGAAAATAGATCGATGATTTATATTAAAAATAAATCAAAAAATTAAGATTTAAATTGAAAAAAATTAAAAATTAAAAGAGTCAAATTGTGGAGTTTATTTTATAATTCAAAAGAAAAGGAAAAAGAGCTTACCGTCTTAAGCTTTGAAACGTCATCTTTAGTAGGGATATCACGTGCCCCGCATGCTGCCAATACCTCATCACGTGCCAGTTGTTGCCAGTGAGGGTGCATGGCAAGTAAGATGGTGGTCCACGTTAGCAAAGCCGAGGTGGTGTGTTTTCCGGCGAAGAAAATGGTTTTACATTCCTCAACGATATCGTGAACGCTGATCATCGATTCCGAGGAACAAGAACAAGAAGACTTAGCAGAATCCGAACTTCTTGTGTGTTTTTTTTGTTTCATAATGTTTCTTGCTTTGATCATCAATTCCAATAAATCGTTTGGAGGTTGTTGATCATCGGACACCACCCCATTATTATAACTTTTAATCCTCTCTCTGATGAGCTTGTTCAACGATTTTTTGATTTCTCTATCCAATCTCCAAGAAATTCTATTCTTTTTAGATGGCAAGAACCTATTAACAAAATTCAAATAAATATATTTTATAATTATCAAATGGCGCAAATTACTAGCTCTAAAAATAGTTACAATTCCACTTTGTTTGTTTGAATTTTTTAATAATATTTTTTTGAATTTTCAACTAGTATGTTTTTTTTCATAAATATAAATTCATTGAAAAAAAAGAGATACGAATTGAAAAATTAAAACCGTAAAATAATATTAATATGGATGGCCTTGCAGCAACTCTACATATGTTTTGTAATAGGAAAACGGTATATATATTGAAATTTATTTATTAAATTCCTAGAGAATGATATATTAATCAATTATTTATTATTTATTATTTTTTATTTTTTGAACATAGTAATAGATTTTTTGACTTTCATGAATACATAAACGGTATATATATTGAAATTTATTTATTAAATTCCTAGAGAATGATATATTAATCAATTATTTATTATTTATTATTTATTATTTTTTGAACATAGTAATAGATTTTTTGACTTTCATGAATACATAAAAATAAATTAAATATTTGTGAATTTTTTGAATGTAAGTTCTATTTATATTACATAACTCTTGTAATATTCAAAATTAAAAACACAATATTTATAAAAAAAATTTAAAACAAAAAAGTGTTCAAAATGTTTTGTTGTACATTAATTTTGAATCACATTCTATTAGAATGCATCCCCATTTAGACACTTCATACAAAAAATTATACAACAATTATACATCCCTCTAAAACTAGAGCTCTAATTGAGCTCTAGTGAGGTGAAAAGTCAAAAAAAAAATAAAAAATAAAAAATAAAGACCAAAACATCTTATCAGATGGGTTTCACATATGCATTAGAGCTATTAAAGCTCACAAATTAGAGCTCCAAAACATTTTTGAAAATTATAAGCTTATAGCAATAGATGACTTTACTTTTGCGAATTAGATGATACAGTGTACGCCTATGAGTCTACTATAGACCTATTTAGATTAATTTAATTTGTTCATTCTACAAGTTCTAATGTGTAAATCATTTAATAAAAAGAAAAAAATGATCCAATAATCGAAGTCACAATTTATTTTTAAAAGTAAATATTAATATTTTTGAAAATATATTTACAGCTTTTTTTTTTTATTTTTTTATATAAAAGAAAATAATAAAATCATATGATTTTGATCACCTGTATCCAGGGAAGAAAACCTTGCTATAGGACCCAATGGCATAAAGCATTTGTTGTTGTAATTCAAAAATGATTTTTCCATCTTCATAGCTGCTTCCAAAGACCGTGTGGGTAATGATCTCCTCTATCAAAGCTTCAAACCACTTGGACACTTCAATTCTCACCATCCCACCACTACTACTTGACATTTCCATCCATTTCTCTAACATCTTCATTGTGCTCTTTCCCATAATAGGTATCATTAGCTATTATGGAAAAAAAAATAATAATAAATAAAACTTATGGATTATATATCAACAGTGCTACATATGAAAAAGGATATAAGGAAAAATATATGCGCACCAAAAATCTTAATCATTGAAATTACTGGCTCTCACATTTATTCGCAAAACGTAAAGGTTGTTAATTTCGCTGAACGAGGTATTCGGTAATTGTAACAGTGTTAATTAAGAAAAGTGTTCAAAGTTTGAAATGTCTGCATGAAAGTCATTATGAGTTTGACTCACATTCCATCAAATTTAAATTTAAGTCATAGATTTAAATTTTGAATATTTTTTTAAATAATTTTTCTAGGTATATATATTCAATATATGGATATGCATGAGGATAAACAAACTATTAGCATTATATGTATTAAAAATTCTACTATATATAAATGAATGAAATTTACTAATTTTTTTACCTCCTACGTATATATGCTATGTGTAATTTAGCATATCTACAAAAATAATAATAGGTACTATTTTTTTAAAATATATATACATATCATTTATTATAATAATAGAATTCATCTAACACATCATTTTCGTTATTTATTCAATTCTTTGAGTTTGTATCAACTTACTTTGAGATTTTCTAGGTAAAAGGTTGAGGAGATGATCTTTCTATGGAAAGCCCATTTCTCTCCCTTGAGAGTTAACAAACCATCACCTTCAAGCTTTTTAACATGCGGGGGTGGCTCAGTTTTCTCAAACAAGTCTGATTTCATGTTCAAAACCTCTCGAATCAGGATTGGATCTGAGACTGTCAGACGAGCCGTGGGTCCAAACCACACAACAAAGGTTGCACCTACAATAATGAGCCATATAATGCCTTCAATCAATGTATCCAAATTTCAAGGTTCTATTCGATTTAGAATTTGTGGAACAGTTATTTATTAATTTTTTTATGTACATAGAATCTGATTATAAAACTGAATATAACTCTCTTTCAGATGTGATGGGCTCTATGCATTTGTCCGTGATTGAATTTTATATACCATTCAAACACACCTCAAACATGCAAAGAAAATAAAATGGTGTTAGATGTGGTAGAAATGGAGTCATATCATTATGTCTCCACTTTGCTCCAAATAGTTAAAAGCAATGCTAAACAAATAGAATTTTAGTTAATTATATTTTCATCTGACTTGTGTCATTTTGGTTCTCAATATATAAAGGTGTTTCAATTTCATCCCAATATTTAAAATTGTGTCAATTTGGTCTCTATTTAGAGGACTAAATTGAAACACTTTTATACATTAAGATTAAATTGACACAATTTAAATATTGAAAACTAATATAATTAACTAAATTTTTTACAGGAAAATTTTATATATAATGAAGCTGCAATCATTTTATTTCAACTCGAAATATTTATATTGTGACATTTAATAATTTTAAAATTGTCATTATCAAAGTATTATAGATGTGATTTATGTATTAAAAAAATGTACGTTTTTATACAATATTCCAACAATAAATATCAATTTTGCAAAAGTGGAAAGAGAAAAAGAAACACAACCACCACATGCAATTTCACAACATAATGGATAGAGAGACCCTACATTACTACAGACAAACAAACACAAATTGAGAGAGAGAGAGAGAGAGAGAGAGAGAGAGAGAATGTGATGGTATGGAGAGAAGACAAGCCAAAACTAATCAACTAACTTCATTTAACATCTTTCAAAGATACAGCAAAATACACATACAAACAAAAGAAAAGCAAAACAAGCTGACAATGTGATGGTATGGAGAGAAGACAAGCCAAAACTAATCAACTAACTTCATTTAACATCTTTCAAAGATACAGCAAAATACACATACAAACAAAAGAAAAGCAAAACAAGCTGACAAGACTGTAACATTGTTTTATTTTTATTTTTTAATATTTTTTAATCGGTAAAAAATTAATTGTTAATTGTTAAATTAACACTATTTGTGTTAGCCTCCTTTACCTTGTAAAGCACCAAGTATTTGTCACCTAATTCAATTTCTGAGTTGAACCTTGGCTATTTCCTTGATACAGTCCTTAAGAGAGTCATAATGGCCAATTATAACATTGTACCGCACGTTTCTTCCATTTTTTTTTTTTTTTGTTTACTGATTTTTTAAAAATTATACCAAAATTTTTTTACTTTTGTCTTGTGCCAATCACTCTAAAAAGTAAAAAAAAAAAAAATCTAAAAATTTAAAAAAAAATTAAAAAGCCAAAACAAGTATAAAAAAAATACCAAAAAATCAAACTTCAAACACCCACTTAGAATGATATGCTAATGATATTTTTGATATTATGAATGCAATATGATGAATGTTTTGATATGAATGAAGGTTTCACAAAAAATTATATATCATTTTGTATGAAAATTTTATACAAAATTTTTAATTGTAGAGTAATTATTCCTAATCTATAACTCAAGAAGTTTTTGTATAAGACAATTAGGTCTACATACATTTGTTTTAACGGTAAATTATACTATTAGTCATTTTAATTTGAGTGAAATTTTATTTTAATTTTAATAGTTTCAATTTAAATCTTACATTTTTAATTTTGTTATAAAACGTGATTTTCATCAGGTACCGATGAAATTTTAAATGAAAAAACGAACACTCGCGCAATTAGAGAGGCCAAGTGGGAGAGTTTCCATAATTGGTTCCAAGGCTGATTCTTATTACCTTCCATTTCATTAGTTTGTTTTGTTGGATTTGGTTGAGAAATTTAGAAATGAATTTAGAAAGAGAAAGAAAAAAAGTAGGTAAAATGTGAATAGATATATCTTACTTAGTTTCATACACTTTTTTCTTTTCTATTTTTAAATATTTTTTCAAATCTCTTAACCGAACACAACGTTAAAGGAAAGAAAAAGACAACTTAAACTACAAAATCCAACATGCTAACAACTTCAAAGATCAAGAGTATACATGTGTGTACATGAAAACAACAAATACAGTAACATGGCCTCAAAATGCTCAAAATAACACTTGCTTAGAGAGAGAGGGAGATAATGATGACACACATACCATAGATTTTCTTCCAGTGATGATAGAAGGAGAGAACTCTAGGGAGTATGTTGTGAGAGAGAGGCATGGGTTTAGAAGAAGCCTTCAACATCAACCTCACAAGCTCTTTTGTGTTTCCTAACAAGAAATGATAGGGAGGTCCTTTGATACCTTGCTTGAAAAAATGTAGTTGTATTCTTTTGGGTCTCCACCAAAGATAAACCCAAACTCTGAACAAGAAAACCAGAAATATGTATGAAATGGTCAAGACCCAAAACCAGTAAAAGTAGTCCTCCATACTTAGCTTCCTTCCACTACAATTTCCTCTCTTGAGGGGAGCAGCTTTTTTCCACTTATCTCTCTATGTTTCTGTAGTTTATATATATACACACATTTGATTGAGGGAGAGAGAGAGCTTTATTTTTTTTTAGGAAAATTTTTAAATTAGTTTAAAGTGTAGAAATAATTATAAATTAATAATATTTTTATTAATAATAATTATTAAAATTATAAACCTTTCTATATATGGATAACAACTTGATCAATTTTCCACTGATAAATAGATTTTCTTTCTTTATATAGAGGAGGGTTAGTGGCCTGGGGTAAGGGATTGCCATTAGAGCCCCATGGAAGGATCGAATTAGGAGAAAATTATGCGGGGTCATGATTGAAAAATCTAGAAATTCGCTAGATATTGATTTGTGATTATGTATCACACTACAACAAAATGCACATTTGGTGACTAAATTTTTAGTCGCCAAAAGTACAATTTTTAGTCGCCAAATGCTTTGCCTGACTAAATATTTTGGTCGCTAGATTGGTCGCGGAAAGCTTGTCGGGGAAGGTATTGGCGACTAAATATTTTTTTGTCGCCAAAAGTCCTATAAATGGCGACTAATATTTTTAGCCGCCTAAAATAAAATTTTAGTCACCAAAAATCTTATTTTCCGCTACTAAAACTTTGGTCGCCAAAACTTGAAGTATCTATGGCGACCAAAGTTTTAGTCGCCAAAGGGTTTTTTTCATCTTTTTATTTTTTTATTTTTTTATTTTTTTCATTTTATTTTTTTTAGCTACTAAATTCTTAGTCGCCTAAAGTCTGCTTTTATTTTAGCTACTAAATATTTAGTAGCCAAAAGTTTTTCTCCATTTTATTTTTATTTTTAGCTACTAAATATTTAGTAGTCAAAAGTTTTTCTCTATTTTATTTTTATTTTTAGCTACCAAATATTTAGTAGCCAAATTTTTTTTTTCCATTTTATAAATAAAATGATCTATATGCTGACAAAATTAGCAATCATTCCACAACACACACACATTTCACTTTCAACCATAAAAAAAAAAAAAATCATATTTAACATCAAATTAATATTTCCAAAAAAAATTCTATACAAATCAAGTATAATCCAATCTCAAAAATATAATTCCATACATAATTCCATGGTCAAACCGTGTTTTTTTTTTTTTTTTTGTGTATGTAATTTTCCCTAAAAAATAAATAAATAAAAAAATGAAAGAGAAAGTAGATAAGACATCAATTGAAAAAAAGAGGGGAGAAAGTGGTCCATGCTGAAGGGTCAGCTAAAGGGTCAAGTGGTTGTGGATCCACCACAGTCAGAGTCCCATTCGCCTCAGTCACCCCTTGATCTGCTGAGTTATGATCCTGTCCAAATAGTCAACCCCTGATCAGTTTCTAAGTGAAGCTAAAATTAATCGAATCTCAAATTGTCAACTCTATGGTTAGGAACTTGGTAATTAATCTATCAAAGAGAGGACACAATATTAAACATTGGAAGGTAGTTCAGAGCTGGCAAAATCCAAAATATGCCCATTCTGTAAAAAACAAAAATACCAGACTTTGTATAAGCCTAATACAAAAAGCCACAGATTCCAAGTCCAACAAAGTCCTTATTCTTCATGTCAACAACATGCAATGTCAATAAAATGCATTTACTGCTAAACTAAAAGTGTGTACCACAACAATGTGGGGTTGTATCAGCACCAAAGGGTCAAACTAAACATTAGCTCTAATGTTTGAGTTACTAACACCTAAAATATATTCTTTTTCACATTTTATGAGAAAATGTAAATGAATCATGGGCAAAATATACATAGCTTTATGAATCATAAAAAAAATATATGTAAGGCAAATATACATAGCTTTATGGGTAAAAATATACACACCTTGACCATTGTCTCGTGTACAGCAGGCTTATCCAGATACTACCTGGCTTTTACTGCTGCATAAAGCTAATGAAATATAAAAAGTGTAAGGCAAATAGTGAATGAATGAATTTCATAAAAAGACAAGACAAATAATGAAGCATATGTAAGAAAAGTTTTAGTCACCTGAAGGTCTTCATTGTTCGTAACAAATTGCACAACACGAAACCAAATGTCATCACTGACAAAATCGCTTGCTTTATCAATCAACTGAAGGATCACATCCACATACCTGCACAATGATTAGAAAAAAATGATAGCATAAGTAGCATATACAATAACAAAATGATGTCCCTTCAATAATGTACATTACAAATAAATAAATAAATAAACATTTTGCAATATCTGATCAAATAAATACTCGGAAAGCCCAAAAAGAATTATTCGAATAGTGGTTTAATCAATAAAAAATTGAATATACAAAATTGTAGAGCAACAGTTTTTTAAGTACTTAAATTTTGTGTTTCATTTATAACCAAATAGTATGATATATAAATTATCAATAAGCTTGGTTGTGTAAACCTTACAGCCCTCATCCCAGGTTATTTGGATACTTGGAAAGATTCACGATTAGTGGAACTAGTTTTAGTAATGGAAGTATAAATTGATAGGATCCATCACTATTATTTCTTTGCTATCAATAACATACAGATCAAAAGGAACAGCAGGACAACGAATTATCACAAACAAGTATTCGATTTTTGATAGTTTATTGACCTCATATGCAAGGCCAGGAATCAAACTATTCCACTGAACAAGAATCCTTGCTTTTTTTTTAAAAAAATCAGAACAATTCCACTGAATTCAAAAAACTTTTTGGCTTTTTTACCTATTTCCAATTAACATTTTGTTAGCATTTGCATATAAACTATGGTTGTCTGCATAGAGCCTTCAACTTGTGCAATTCAGATCAGGATGGTCAAAAAAGACTCATTTAGCTGACTCATTTAGCTGACTTCTTTTCAATCTAAATCCTTGGTGTGTATTATGTTTACATGAACATTCTTTGTAGGTTCTTCTAAAAGCAATACATCTTCTTCATTTGACCCAAACATGCTACAATATAACCTATTGAAAAGCAAAGAACATCAACTACAATTTCCTTGGAGGCAGACAATAGAAAATGCAAAGAAATTGATCCAAAAATCTGCCAATCAAGACCATTGGGCCATTTTGATCATTTTTAGTGGAGACCGAGTGGAAACCAAAAGTTGTCCATGCTTTTTTTTTTTTTGGACAAGTTAAAGTTGTCCAGGTTTAATATGTAGTAATAATGGATAGAAAACAAAGTTTCAATGAAGCAAGGATTACTAGATTGTAGAAAAAATTTCAACCATTGTGCAACCAAAAACATAGTGACTCATGTGCTTTCCATTAAGGGTTATAGTTCCTTAAGGCATCTACAAAACAACTATCCTCCAACAAACAATGGCAACCCCCAGAACATAACATATACACACAGAAATTGAACTATTTCTACATTAAACCCAATTGCTGCATCAAATATATACACACAGAAATTAATCCACAAGTTCCAAAATAAGAAAATATGACACTTTAGAGTGAAGTATCAAACTTTCCACTTCTGAAAAAAAAAAATGCAGTAAATCAGCACTATAATTTTTAAATTAAAAATTTTATCAATTTGTAAATCATGAATCCGATGGTCTCCAATCCCCTGATCTTCTTGGCAAACAAAGAAAGATTATGCAAACAAAAAAGAAACCAAGAAAGAGTACCAACTTGGAATTGTGGAGACAACTTCACCCATCTGAAGCCGATCTGCACAAAAAAATGAAATCGAGTTACTCAATTATCAAAATTGGGGAGAACCCAGTTGACAGAAATGCAAGATCAGAAAAGGGTAAGGGCAGAATCAAAGAATCATATAGAGAATTGTGGTTTTTCCAGCATTGTCAGGACCAAGAACGAGTTTGTTACCAAAAAGCGAAGAGAACAATCGAGTAAACACAATCCCTATTTTCAATCTCCCTTAGATAGGGAATCAAAAGGACCAATCAGATCTTTAAGATCCCCACAAGAAACCTCTGAATATTTTGAGAGAGAGAGAGAGAGAGAGAAAGCATACGCGAGACGGAGCATCAATGGAGCAGAGTTCATCTCAGCGATGATGTCTCTGGATCTCGCGGCAGTGGATCTGTGAAGATCGGTGGAGGAGGAGGCGGCGGCGTGAAAAGATCGGCGGTACTCACGATGACGATGGCGATGGCAGAGGAGGAGGAGGTGCTCCGGTTTCCGTCGAAGGCGAAGAAGAGCGGCAGTGAGAGAGGGAGGGGAGAGGAGTAGCAGAGACGAGAAGGGAGAGGGAGAGGGACACTGAAAATAGAGAGAGAGAGAGAGAGGCGTAGATTATTTTAGGGTTTGGTTTGGTACAAAATATATATCGATATATATATCATTTTATACAATTGACGACTAAAATACCAGTGGTCGCCAATTATATATATGTTACACCATTAGCGACTAAAAACTTTAGTTGCCAATTACTTTTATAAATTCCTCAAATTTAAATTATAAATGCCTCCCTCCAATTTTTTATTTTTTGGCGACTAAACTACTTTTTGGTCGCTAAAAATATGTTTTGGCGACTAAATTTTTGGTCGCCAAAGAAAGCCTTTTTTTTTTTTTTATAGTTTTTTTTTTTTTTTTAATTTTACATTTGGTGACTAAATATTTTAGTAGCCAATACCTAATATACGGCGACTAAACTAATTTTTGGTCGCTGAAAATATGTTTTGGCGATTAAACTTTTGGTCGCCAAAAGATAAAAAATAAATTTTTAATTTTACATTCGGCGACTAAATATTTTAGTAGCCAAAACTCAATATACGGCGACTAAAATTTTTTTTTGTCGCCAATTCTAGTATTTTCAGCTACTAAATTATTTTTTAGTTGCCAATAATTAATATATCCTGACTAAAAAAATTTAGTAGCTAAATTTTATACTTTTGGCGACCAAAAAAAAGTTTTAGTCGCCAATTCCAAAACTTTTGGCAACTAAATTTGTTTTAGTCGCCAATTTTAGTCACCAAAGATGTATTTTGTTGTAGTGTCAATTTTAAGCAATAAATAAC